CGGGAGATCTTCATTCTCTCCTGCTTCCTCCTCCTCTTCTTTTCCCTGTGTTTGGAACCCATTTCTTGGCCATGTTTTGGATTCACAGCAGTTTTGGGGTAATATATATATTTTATCTTTATTATGTACTGGATGACATTGCACATCCTATGCTATATTGTCTAAACTTATTATTGTTTATTATATATCAATTAACAGCAAGTACTATATATGCGCTGTATCTGGATTTGTCTTTTTTATATATGAGAAGCATATGTATGCAAAAAGTTTTGCAAAAATGGAGATAATAATACACGATATGTTAATTGGTGCAAAATGCGTCGAACCTCAGAATAACCTGCCACATACCCTCTTTTTTGAATGGGGGTATTAGATATGTATATGGTTGCTCATCCCATATCTACTGTGTATTGACTATTTGACATGGCCTTTATATGTGTCTTAATATGTTTTTAGTTTGTTATAAGAAATAAAAGGTTTTATATTTATACTTCACACCTGTAGCTGTATGTATTTTGTGAAAAAAACCCAGGCTCAATTGCAGCCAATCCTTACTTGTCTTTACTTGAAAACTAAGGGGTCTATTCATGAAGCAGCCAAAGGATCTAGCCGTAGCATTGGCCGATCCTTCGGCTAGCTTCGGCCCCAGGACCCCTTCGGTTCAGTAGAACCGAAGGGCTGCTGTACCGGCTATTCACTATAGCCTGTACAGCTCCCGAACGGCTGGCTCCGGCCACTTGCAAAGAGATCAGCGTCCCTGGTTAACAGCTAACCAGGGACACTAATCTCCAAACAGCCTAACTCAATGCATTGCTAGATTCCTATTGGCTATTTCAATTTGCAATAGCAAACTAGCATTGCACCCGCCCTCTGCTGCAGTTCTACATCAGGTCCACAACTACTGATTGACAGCAGCAGAGGGCGGGAACAATAGCTAGTTTGCTATTGGCTATTGCAAATTGAAATAGCCAATAGGAATCTAGCAATGCATTCCTATGGGCAAAATGTTATTTGTTTTCTATTCTGACATGGCTCCGTGTCAGGATAAAGAAAAAAAACAAAAAAGCAGTGTTTCTCTCCTTGGCGGCCGGGAGCGGGAGCGCCTGGGAGAGTTTTCTTTTTCTTTTTTTGGACGGCAGCAGAATCGCGGACAATAGAAAACTGTTGGGCAGAGCTAGCTGTCATTGCTAGCTCCGCACAATCGTTTTTTCTACTTTTTTAACTATTTTTCTGTTCTGCTCGGTCCATCTTTGGGAGGGTTATGGACTTCCCCACTGCCTCACTTGACTGGCCTGAAGACTTCAGAAAAAGGTAAGTATAGAAAAAAGGTGAGTAAAGAAAAACAGCATAAAAAATTGCAGAGGGGCCTCCAGGGGGGAGTCGGGAGTACGAGGGGGGCTCAGATTTGGGCAATAAGCATTCCAGAAACCAGATTGAAAGCCAGTAAGAGGAGAG